ACTCGCAGAAAGATTATCTGTATAACCATGTTTGGCCTGATTTCCGCAAGTTGGAGATAACTGAAGATTCAAGGGGAGGGCTATGGCCGCACTAAAATAAGTGGGAGGGAGTTACATTTGGGAGGATGGAGAGGTGCCAAGAGGATTTAAATACTTAAAGTATGTCAAAAGCCAGGAAAGGAAGAGCTGTGCACAAGCCTCAACTAGAGCCAAAGATCCAAAGCACCCAGGACCCTGGCAGAACATCAGCGTTCAGTCGTTGTGCCCATTCACCATGGCGGCCTGCCCGATGACTTCTCCCCTCTCATCTTGCCCAGCACAATGCCAAGTTGTATAACATACACTGGAAAAAACCACCTATAGCCAATGGTCCAGAACAAAAAAACACAGAGACTGATAATGGCAAAAAGTAGCACAGCTAGGAGGAGTCAGGTAGCTGTAGCAAATGGCCTGATTCTTAGATTCAAGGAAAAGGGGGGCAAAGACGATTTAGGCCAAGGCTCTGAAGAAGCAGTGATTGAGAGAATGCCTTCACAGGTGAACTAGCAGCAGCAGCAAGCTGAGTAATATGATCCACATACTTTCCAACCACCTCCAGTTCTTCGGTTCTAGCATCCCTGTAACATTCATAAAGTACCTTCCCCTCACAAATGTACAGAGCCCCAATTCGGTGTACAGGAAAAGATTCCAGGGCATGGATTTCACATTTCAGACATTACGTGCAAAGTTTTATGTGCATGTACACAGAGTAGGTACCACGCCCTGGACTCTGCTCTTAATGCTGCAGAATATATGAAGCTGCTCTCTCTTCGGAACGAAAATGAAAACACCTCTGAGAAGACAGCTGATTTCCCTGCACTATCCAACCATGACTAAATAAAACCATGTCTCTCACACAGACTGGACTATGAACAAACAGTACTTCCAGTCCCCCCCCCCCCCCCTTTTTTTAATTTTTTTTTTCCCGATTTTAATAATTTAGGCATGCAAAAATAAACCACATTCTGAAGGGTGTTGGTCCTGGCACCTCATTTCAGTATTGACAGCTTAGGCTTACAGTATATTTCACACCAGCAGTGAAAGTAAAATTTCTTCAGTGCATCCTGATACATGCATATGAGACTGAAGAAGAGACAGTATTTATTTATTAGATTTATATCCCGTCCTTCCACATGGCCCTGCTAGATCCTGTCTTTTTAGAAAGCAAGCATCTAGTCCCCAGCACATATGCAGGGCTTTCATCAACCCAGAGATTCACTTCAGTTCATCGGATGCCACAGCTTCAGCCCAACCACAAAACATGCGACAGTCCATGAATTAGTGCAGAATGCAGATGTCGGGTTAATTCTCACACCAGTCTATAATCAGACTCACACATCCTACCAAGACTGAATACTCACAAGTATTTCTCAGTTCTTATCTCTTGAAAATACCCACAAGCCAGCAACTGATAAGGCCCATGTGGCACGTACACATCCTTCACATGATAAGATGCCTATATATTGAGTACCTTCTTCCGTCTCAAGCAAAAGAGGCAGGCTTCTAGTGCTGAGAGATGCAATGGCTAAGGTACAACTGAAAAGCACTGACTCATACACCTTTGACTGTGTCAAGCTCCTCTCTAAGCATGTGCAAAAAACCTTTCTATATTCTCATCTCTTGCTCGTAGAGATTTCATGAAGCCCTGAAGTCTGAGCTGCCATAGCCTTGTTCTTAAAAGAGAAGCATAAATCATATGTATACTCTTGACTGTAACTTCATTCTCATGAAACAGCAAAACACAACCTGCATGCTAGACCCTTTCAGTTAGCAGGGTTTGATAACTGGCCATCATATAAAACACAATGAACGCTTCTTGTGTATCGAGAATTACAGCACTGGGGGAGAAGGGTTCTTAAAACCTATGCAAATCCGCTCCACTCGGTGGAAAGACACAAGGGCAGGATATAAATTCTGTAAAATCAATCAGTCCATAAACAAAACATGCAGAGTGCCTCCTTCCTTCTTAGCACTTCGCCCTCTCATTAAGAACTGAGAGAAAGCATGTAGAAGGAGCCGGCAACGAGGGGCACAGCACTCCTCTCAGCTTTTAAGGCAACAAGAAACCGGCTTCCGAAGGAGCAACAGCAAGGAGGCACTCTGCACAAGCCCAGAGACCAGTCTAAGTGGTCTGGACAGGAGCTGAACGCCCCCACAGCCCCCCTGCGTATGTATAAGAGCTCCTTTCAGAAGCCAAAGCGGCGGGACAACGCGGCGTCTCCAAAACTCGTTTAAAAACAAATGACACACGAGCTTGCAGATCCAAAGTGCGGAGAGCCGGAAGGCCAGCCCGCACGTGCCCAGAGGGCCTCATCACGGTAGCTGGGCCCGTGCCCGCCTGTCACCTGAGCATATGCAGAGCGCCGCCTGGTCCTCTAATCTCCAGCCTAGTGGGCGTGGCCTCCCAGGGGCCCTCCTCCTCCTCCTCCGGGCTGCGAGGGCCTGGTTTGGCCTGCAATGGAAGCTGGGCCTGCCACCGAGGCTCCACCCACGAAAGCCGCCGCCGCCGCCATGCAGCGCGCTAAGGGGAGGGGGCGGGGCGGGCAGCGCGCGAGACAGCGACGGGGTCTCCGGCCCCCCCAGCACTCACCTCACCTGCGCTGCTCCCACCTCTGCCGCCGCGTGCCGCTCCCGCCCACCGCGCCAGCCCCTCGCAGCACTCGCCCTCCGCCCTCAGCCGAGCAGCCAATCCGCGCCCGCCGACGCGAGACTCGGCCGCCCAATCAGAGGGCGGACTTGGCGTCCGCCAAGGGACTCCGCTCTGGCGTACGCGGCTCGGATTGGGCGAATGCATCCGTCAGTCTCCCACCCCGCTCCAGAATGACGAGAGTGGGAAAGGAGGCGGACCGCGGTGGCCAATGAGAAATCACAGCGCGTCCTCCCACCCGACCAATGAAGGGAATACACTCATGTTCTTTCCCCCCCCAGCTGTCAAAGAGAGGAGGGGAAAAGAAAAGCGGCGGTTGATTGGCTGGACAGGGAGGCGCGTCCGGCAGGGTTGGCGGGCCGAGGAAGGCGATATTCTCGTATTCCACGACCCATCCTCAGCACCACCTTTTGTCCCCGCCTCCAGTACGCCTTCGCTTTTGTCCAATAAGGAGAGGAACAGCATAGAGGCGGGTTATTAGCGGCTCTTGACCAATCAGACCGGGGAGGGTTTGGCGGGCGTCTTCCCTGCCTTTGACCACCCTGACTACTGGGCGCGGTAGTTCTAGAATCTTTGCACGGGTTGATTAATTAATTTCGACAATTAGTGTGCGAGATATGCATGTGTGCAAGTTTCGGTGATTCATACGACTAATGGAATCACTGATTTTCAATTGCAGTTCATATAATTTAGTTCTAAATTTCAGAACTTTGTGCAGCATCTATTGCTATATTAGTTATATCCAATACATTATATTGCAATCTAAAAAAATAGGACACGAATGTTTTGAGACAATGAGGGCCTTGGCAACTATTCATGATGACTATTAGGGAATTTCCATATTCAGAAGCAGTAATATCTTTGAATGTCAGTTCTAGGAGGCACCAGCAGGGGTATGTCTGTTGTAGTGTGTGTAACATGATGCTGGACTAGACGGATTGCTGGTCTGATCCAGCAAGGCTTTTCTTCTTAAGTTCCTATGGATGGGTTATAGTATGAAAACTGTTATGTAAGACAAGCTGCAACATTAATAATATGTATACCGTAAATTTATACAATATATCTTCAGTAGCCATTGTTTAAGAGTAAATAATTTGGCAATGACAATTGATGTGCTATAATGTGTTAGATGATAATGCATTGGTTACAGAGTTCAGCATTCTCAATGTTTCAAAGTTTCACTTGATACCCAAATTGTCCTATAGTCCTGTTGTGACTGTAGGAGACTGTTCCTGTTCAAAGACCACACTTTCTTTTGCTTATATTTTGTAAGCCATGGGGAACTTTGTGTCCATGTTATATTATCTTGCCCTCAATTAATCCACACCCCAGCTTTCCATTGCCCTGGGCTACCCTGAGTCTTAGTCCTATGGGGACTGTGTTACCAAGTACCCTTGTACCTTCTCTTGTTCCTTCCTCTCTCTCTGGGCACCTCATGAACATGAGAACATCAGATAAACCATATTGGATCTGGCCAATGGCCCATCCAGTCCAACATTCTGATGCCATCAGGCGGTTCACCAGCAGGGCCAGAACTCCAGAAGCCCTTCCACTGTTGCCCCCCAAGCACCAAGAATACGGAGCATCACTGCCCCAGACAGAGTGTTCCATCTATACCTTGTGGCTAATAGCCACTGATGGACCTCTGCTTCATATGTTTATTCAATCCCCTCTTGAAGCTATGTTTGTAGCCGCCACCACTTCTTGCAGCAGTGAATTCTATGTATTAGTTACTTTTTGGGTGAAAAGTATTTGTTAACTGAAATCTGCTTGTTTGAGTCTTTCTGTATCTGTTTCCATGGAGGCTGAGCGTGGGTCTGAAAACTCTACCCTGCATACTCCTTCCACTGACCATTCCAGTGCCCACATTACTGCTTGCTTTTATCACACTTTTTCATGCTGTGTTATGTTCTTTCAGCTTTCTGCTATAGCTGATGTAAGTGATAATAAACCTGAACTTAAATGAAGGTTCCAGATGCCAGAGGGGTTGTTGTTGTTCAGTCACACAGTCGAGTCCGACTCTTCGCGACCCCATGGACCAGATCACACCAGGCCTTCCTGTCTTCCGCCGTCCTCTGAAGTTTGCTCAATTTCATGTTCGTTGCATCTATGACACTGTCTAACCATCTCATCCTTTGCCGTCCCCGTCTTCTTTGACCTTCAATCTTTCCCAGCATCAGGGTCTTCTCCAGGGAGTGCTCCCTTCTCATTGGGTGGCCAAAGTATTTGAGCTTCAGTTTCATTATCTGGCCTTCCAGGGAACAGTCAGGATTGATTTCTTGTAGGATTGACTGATTTGATCTTCTTGCAATCCAAGGGACTCTCAAGAGTCTTCTCCAGCACCATAGTTCAAAAGAATCTATTCTTCGGCGCTCGGCCTTCCTAATAAATGGCCACAGGGGTAGCCATTTTTATATCTGATTCTGAACATGGCTCCATAGTGTGGATCAAAAACTCTATACAATGGGGACATGTACAGATGGGGAGCTTTTCCTACAAACTGGGAGGAACCCCATAGACTCACAGAAAACTCTGATAAATTTAAAAAAATTGTGATGAAGAATTTTTAACTCCCCAATTGCTGAAGTTACCAGGGAAAAAAATTAGATTGCATGATGCTATATCCTGAGACATCAACTGTCATTTCAGAAGTTGCCAACAACCCCAACAATTACTGCCAGGATGGGCAGGGGAGATGATGACAGGCAGTCATAGTGGCTGGGAAGGTGAGAAGCTGGACAGGTGAAAAGGTGGCTGGCCACAGCTATGTGGACAAGCAGCAGGAGATGAAGGCAGCAGCCACCGAAAAGGGGAGAAGCCAGCGGGGGCAGGAGGGTTGTAGCGACAGTTTCACCACCACTGTGCAGACATGTGGGCAGGCAGAGAAAGAGATGGGGGAAGCAGGTTGAAAAGGAAGGAGGAGACCCTGGCAAGATTGTTGTGGGGCTCACTTTTGCACCCTCCCTCTGCTGTCTGTCAGCTGATTGGAGCTTGGGGTTTCAAGCAGAAAGCTGATCCCCCAATTAGCTGGCTGGTGGAAAGTGACCTGGAGCACAAATCACTTCCTGCATGGCTTTCTACTCCAGGCCTGCGAGCCAGCTGATGGGGGTGTAAACAGGAAAGCATGTCTTCCACACTTTTAGCCCAGCCCCCATCACCTGGCTTTTGAGGGGAAACAGGCTTGTCACACTGGTCTCCCAGGGGCCACCAGTGGAGTGTAGAATGGTATGTCGCCTCCTTCACAAGCCCTCAGGTCCCCCCCACCTTTGTCTTACTCTGATTTCTCAAAAATCACTGATGATTTGGGTGTTACTTTAAACAACTATAGATTTACAGACATACTGAGCTGCCTAATACAGAATCTCACCATTGGTTCATCGTATTGTCTACTCACACTAGCAGTGGTTCTCCAGGGTCTCGGGCTAAGGTCTTTCACATTATCGACTGCCTGGCTGTTTTTAACTGGAAATGCCAGAGACAGAACCTGGAACCTTCTACATGCCAAGCAGAGGCTCTACCCCAGAGCTACAGCCCATTTTTTTGGAATACACTTTCTAAGGACTGAATTAAGATCCGCTTTTTAAATAGCCTCTGCTCCTGTACCTTTGACAGTGCCTTGTGACAGAGGGAGTAGTCGGAAGTGTGACATTTCCTTCCATGCCACCACAAGTGTCACCTGTGAATTCCCTCTGGTGGTGCTGCTGTTAAAAGTGTGCCCGCAATGCAGAGGCTAAGAGAAAATAATGGCAGGTCAGCTCAGTGCTCTATAAACTTTTCACCCTCAAGTTTCTAAGGGATTTAGGCAAACAAAAATTAAAGCACCAGGTTTGTTTGGTTAGTGAATATAATTGTGCAAACTGCACAATTTCCTGCATTGCGCAGGTGGTTGGACTAGATGACTCTGGAGGTCCCTTCCAACTCTATGATTCTCAACTGAATTTTATTTCTTAATGAAACATAAGTTATAAATAAAAGGAAAATATGACTCTGTAATTTGAAACTGGAGAAAAGGAAAAGTGAAACCCTCCTTTATTGTATCAAGAACACCCTCCCTCCCCATTTTGCTTCAAAAAGCTTCAGACACAATCAGTTTGTCTGGGATAATTATACCACAACAGCACAGTTGGGAACACTTCTTTCATGAAGAAATGGCTGGAACATTCCTTCTGTTGTTGTGACGCCCCCACTGCAGTCTGTCTACTGCAGTCTGTCTAGTGCACTGTGTGCCATCATTTGTTGGGTTTATCCCCAAACTTTGGAGAGATCTACACAAAAATTCTGGAATAGTCCCCATCACTTTATATATGAAGATACAGAGGACAGTTTATTACAATTCCACAGGGCCTCCGAGACGGAGCTCTTCCACCAGGCATTCGAGTGAGAAGCCACATATAACATCTTAATTTAAAATCAGAGCTTTACCCTGGAATTCCACCGTTGGCTATTGCTATTACTGACTGATACCTGTTACGGATAATATTTGGAAATTTGTTTGTTTCGCCATCTTACATGCAATATCTATGTCTAGCACTTTAGAATCATTGTATGATTTTATTCTGTTTTTAAATTTTTATGTAAGCCGCCCTGAGCCTGCCTCAGTGGGGAGGGCGGAGTATAAATCTAACAAATAAATAACTAAATAAATTTATTAATGCGTGTATTAATATAACAGACTTCACGTTCCTGGGATCCTAGATCACTACAGACTGTGACAGCAGCCATGAAATTAAAAGACGCCTGCTCCTTGGGAGGAAAGTGATGGCGAACCTAAACAGCATGATAAAAAGTAGAGACATCACCCTGCCAACAAAAGTCCGCATGGTCATAGCAATGGTATTCCCAGTAGTCATGTATGGCTGCGAGAGTTGGACTATAAGGAAGGCCGAGCGCCGAAGAATAGACTCTTTTGAACTATGGTGCTGGAGAAGACTCTTGAGAGTCCCTTGGACTGCAAGAAGATCAAATCAGTCAATCCTAAATGAAATCAACCCTGACTGTTCCCTGGAAGGCCAGATAATGAAACTGAAGCTCAAATACTTTGGCCACCCAATGAGAAGGGAGCACTCCCTGGAGAAGCCCCTGATGCTGGGAAAGATTGAAGGTCAAAGAAGACGGGGACAGCAAAGGATGAGATGGTTAGACAGTGTCATCGATGCAACAAACATGAAATTGAGCAGACTTCAGAGGACGGCGGAAGACAGGAGGGCTTGGCGTGATCTGGTCCATGGGGTTGCGAAGAGTCAGACTCGACTGTGCGACTGAACAACAACATTAATATAACCATATATTAATACGGATACGTTTATGGTGGATGTTCTCAATGATGTTACTGCATCCCATGAAATATGCCGTGTTCTCATTTCTCATTAGAAAGCACCCCCCCAAAAAAAGTCACGGCTAAGAATTCATGCCAATCTAGAATCCAAGGATAGATTGCTGAAATCAAGCAAGTCACACAGATGGTGAAAACAGTGGCACTCTGAAAAGCGAGACAAACAAGGCCAGAAAACCTCCAAATTTACTGTAAGAACCATCTGGAGCAATTTCACCCTTGAGTTACATTTGTGAAACAAGCCAAGGTTTGCTACTCAACCCTTGCTCTGTTGCAACTCACTGGCCTAGTGACTAGGCTGTTGTAACTGATGGTGCAAATGGAGGAAAGGGTGGGAGATGGGACTAAGGTGGTGGAGGAGACAGGTGAGGAAGCAGAGAAGCTGGCTTCCAATTATTTTCCCATGCCAGCATACAGCTACACCAGCAAATCAACCGCTGGAATACACTCACTGGAGTCTGCGGAGACCCAAGAGAACTGCTGTCTTCCCTTCTCTGGCACACAACGGGCTTCTGATGGTGCTCCTGCATTGCCTCCAAGGCTGAGAAAAGTTACTGTCTGTAAACTAGACTTGTGCTAGACTTGGTTTGAAATGTGGCCTTCTATCCAAGAAGAATGTTTGGAGCAGAGGAAAATCTGGAGGGAGCTGGTTTGGAAACGGCACATGGACCTTCTTGCTTGGCTTCAATGGCCCGGGAACAGGTAGAATTTTTTCAGAAGAGTAGCTCTCTCCCTGGTGGGCATCTGCAGCGGGTTGTTGTTAAATGCGTTCTGGACCTGGAATGCAGGAGAGTCACCAGAAATCAGAGCAGGCACCGCAGCAAGACAGGCTGACTGGATCCAAAGCAGGGCCAAGCACTGGAGCCAGTTATAGAGCCCAGCAAATAAAAGCCAGGGCTACGTACCAAACACAGCATTCTCCCACTAGCCCAACAGCCTACCCATCCTAAAAGCAGTAAAGTATCAGCAGCACAAAAAGTGAGCAAAAAAAGACCAACTGTTAAATGCTTCCCTGCCTGGTCATCTGGAGATGGCAGGAGTGACTTCACCAGTGATTGGTTACAGAGCTGCTTGGTAGAAGAGAAAACTTTAGCAGGGACAACTTTGTCACCTCAGCATAGCCAGTGGTATCTTCCAGAATCTTCTAGAGGGGCCTTGCCCTCTTTTCTGAATTCTGCAACCTGTACCGACTATGTCAATTTAAGCTGGTTTGCACCATTTCTCCTTTTCTACATGATGTGCTCTGTTTCTGTTGGAAACAGGGATAGGAATGAAACCATCTCACTGAGCACTGGAGGAAACCATGCAGCTTGCTGCTAGACACATATTATCAGAGTAAGATGGAACTTCTGGAATTTCCCCCAGCATTCCTCTGCCTTTCCAGGTGTACTTTTAAAATTACTACGTATTTCATTTTGGGAAACGTCTATGCTGTTGTGCAGCTAGAAAGCTAGAAAGCTTTTAAAGCCGAATGGCAAGAACTTCACTTCTCTTAAAAAAAAAGAAAAGAAATCTGAGATTCTGAAGAAACTGGATTCTGTTCCCTTAGAATTTGCACTTAGAATTGCTAACCTCCAGGTTAGGCATGGAGTTCTCTTGGAATGACAACTGAGCTCCAGATCAGTTACACTGGAGAAAATGGCTACTCAAAGCAAGCAGAACAGAGCTGGATGGACTCGGACTTTGGGGGGGGGGAGCCAGCTTCAGGTATGTTTACTTGTAGCACGCAGATGTATCCCCAATCAAATGACGCTCGTAGGCTCACCTCTCTGAAGATGTCTTCCAAGTGGTAGCGCCAGGCGTGCTCCTGCATGTGCTTTATCAGCTGGACAATGAAAATGGATCCCGTCTGAGGGCTCCTCCAGGACACATTATCTATAAAGAGGAGGAGGAGGAGATTGGATTTATACCCCGCCCTTCACTCGGAGTCTCAGAGCAGCTTACAAACTCCATTCCCTTCCCCTCCCCACAACAGACACCCTGTGAGGTAGGTGGGGCTGAGAGAGCTCTGACAGAAAATGCTCTTTTCAAGAACAGCTGTGCTAGAACTATGGCTTGCCCAAGGTCATCCAGCCAGGTGCAAGTGGAGGAGTGGGGAATCAAACCCCGTTCTCCCAGATTAGAGCCCGCACACTTAACCACTACACCAAACTGGCTCTAAGAAGCAATATTTGTTGGAGACTGTAGGCTTGTAAGGCTTTCACAAGAATGCAGGTGAGGCCAGAGCTGACAGCCTACTGGTGTGTCAGCAAAGCAGATGGGAGCCACTAGCCGCAGAAGGCAACCGGGCTTCTGTGCCTTTCTTTACTAACACTGGGCCAGAGAGCGAATTTTGGCCAAGGCTGCCTTTCTCACCCCTGTGTGGCAAAAGGTCCACTGTCCCAAACTCCTTTTCACACCTAGGTTGCTTTCCCATGGAAATTTGGTTCTTTGTATTTCCTTCCACAAACTGCATGAGTTTGTGATTTTTTTGGGGAAGGTGGTGGTTCCTATACCATATGGTTGTGCAATTATCTACTTTCTGGTTTTCTCCAGCTTGACTTCATGTTTCCCCAAAACTGCTGGGGTTCAATCTTTCTTCAAAGACTGCACTCAAAGTGGGTTTAGGATCTGTGTTTATAAGAAGGTGCAGATTTCTGTACCTCCCCACCCACATGGACCACATCTGACACCATATGCACCACTATTTCCCCTTGTGCCTGCCATTCTCCCCTGCCACCGGCTGGCTTTTTTACTGGTAGTAAGGTGGTTTTCCACATGGTGCCCTGCTTGCCTTGTTTCCCCATTGCTGGTGATAAAGCACAGCAGCTATGGGGCTTCCATATGGCAGGTTTCCCCACAGTCTCCCTGCCCCAGTACCCAACCAGCACCCACCCCCTTCCCTTGGGCCACTTGGACTTTTACAGTTTTTTGCACTACAATACTGTTGTATCTATATAACCATATATCAATATGTGTACCGGGTTATCTGAATTCCCAGCTTTCATTTGTAAAAACGTAAGTCTCTATCCCTTTCCCCCTTTTCTGTAATGAAAAGAGATAGAGACTTACTTTGAAAAAAAATTAAATCTGGGGATTCAGGGAACCTAGTACACCTATTATTACACTGACATAATTATATTGTACTGCAAGTTTGTGCAGGAATGGCAGGGGGGTACCCACCACGGCCAGGCATAGGATCGCCACATTTCCAAAGGCTCCTGCTCCTTAGCATCTGCTTTCTGTGCAGCCTATTGCAGGTGAGCATTTGGGCTTCCATTCTGTGAAAAGCTTTGTGTTTTGATTACTGCACATTCTGCTGACCGGGACACAGCTCAAGGTCCTCCATCCCTAGACAGACCTTGCTAGGAGTGGTGAAGATTTCCCCACAGCTGTTAATCCACTGGCAGATCAATGGTTCTGTAAACTCACAACTGTACTGTACTCTGTGTTGGTCTGCCCTTGAAGACTTATGCTCCTGTATGTCAACTACATTCTTCAAGCTGCCACCTGTGAGTGTGGGATGCCTGGCCTCGACCAGAGTCTGGGCCTTTCCTGTCATGGCTCCCACTCTGTGGAATGGGTTCCCTGAAGAAGTGAGGGGTGCCTCCTTGTTACAGATCTTCAGGAGGCACTTGCAAGGCCTGTTGTAATCAGTCAGTCAGTCTTTATGACAGCCATTTAGCTGCAAGGCCAGTTTGGTTGCCAGGGCTTTTGGAGGACTATGGATAGCAGACAACTTTTACAGGAGGGAGGGAGGTATTGGGGGTTTATTATTTTATTTTGATTGTATCATATTTACTCAAAAGGAATATGAATATGAACCTTAAAAATGTTAGACACAAAAAAATTATTGAACATCACTATAACCTGTATGTGAATGTAAGACGACCCTCTCTTTTTTTGATGACATACCTGTGAAAAAAGCTAGTCTTGCATTTCAGTAAACGTTCACTTGTAATTTTTAAATTATGAAGTAATTAACTGAGTCAAGAGGAAAAGCGAGGTAAAAATGTATACATCAGGAAAAAGGGGCCAGACTACCCAACACCCTGCGCCTTGTGTAGCTCCAGGGGATAAAAAGGGCAAGAAGACGGTGGGAAACAATTTCCCCATCCAACTGTTCTGCTGTGTGTTGTTGTTGAAAGCACAGGCAGGGCTGGCCCCAGCTTATTTTGCACCCTAGGCAAGGATCCCTTCTGGCGCCCCCCCCCCCCATGCACCCAACAATTTTCAAAAATAAATGCATTTTAGGAAGAATGAAAAACACACATAATCAAGAAACTCCCAGAGTACTGGGTGGGTGGAGCTTGGCGCCCCTAAGGGCCGTCCCGCTCTAGGCAATCGCCTAGTTCGCCTAGTGAGTGAGCCGGCCCCGAGCACAGGAGC